AACTGATTCATTCAGTACGTTTTGCTATGAGTATCTTTAAAAAAGCGTTATATTCTGAGTTTTTGATGTATATATCAAATTTCATTTCCTAATTTTCAAAATTATAGAACGAAACTTTAGAAATCGCAAAAATATATGAACCTGAGTGCTAAAACCTTCATCGGTTAAGTAATTTCAAAAGAAATTTTCAGTTATGTTCCAAATTGGCACTGCATTTGAAGATTAAAAAAGGCAAGGACAATATATTTCACAGTATCGGAATGAAGTGTTCTATAATGAGAAGCAACTTGATAAATCATTCTCCTTCCACTTTCCGAATTGTCAAATTTTCTAGTATCACTACTTCCCATAATGTTGAGATTACTTAAAATAAATAAGAACTAAAAGTTATTTATTTTGATAAATGGATTTTCATCAAGTAAAAGCCACCTCAGTTCAATTTTTGAGATTCCTTGTATTAAAATTTTATATTTTGGAATTTTTCATGGAAAGGAACAAAAAGATGTCAAGATTCCAATCGTACAGATAATACGTAAACATGCTTCCCCCAAAGTTGTAAAATCGAATCGGCAAAGCGTCTTAAAAGCATATTTTTCGAATATCGCCAAACAAACGGCACATACAACTACATCCGACTTAATGGATTCTATTTAAGCGCTTGCCGTATTCTTCTAATGCAATTCTTAAAAACCTATAAATCGTGAAAATGCGTTTCCCCTCCGCGTTCCACTTAGTAGGTATTCTATATTTTATACGCGCCTATATATGAGGGCATGTTTTTTTTTTAATTCCCAATCTTTTTTGTCCCGGAGCGTTTTGCTTCCATTTGCTCAGCGATGTGATTTACGTAGCATGTAATAAAAGTATTAAACCGGGAAAGTTTTATAGCTTTAATCTCCAACGGTTTAAGCAAAATGGCCTTTTTCAGGGAATGTTTCACTTAGCTTGCCATATAAAGTGCTCAATCGAAACATAAGATATTTAGCGAATCATTTAATTTTTTTTTAATAATATTTTTTTAAAACTATTTGTTATCTAATTTGGAATGGACTGGCTTGGAAACTGAAAAAAGTTTCATTCAGAGAAAAAAAAATACTGTTTAAATACCGTAATAATTTTCATTCGGCTAATTTGAAATAGCGAAAATACTATTGATTAATTAGCACAAAAAATGGTGAATTTTGATTAAATAGTAGAGATTATTAGAATTAGAATAAGAATGGTTTTGAAAGCCCATTATTTGTCAAAATAAATAAGAACTAAAAGTTCAGATTTTCACGAAATTATATATTTTTATATGACAACCGTGTCTTTATCAAATGTAATATTTACAAACTACCTGCTACTATATATACCGAAAAATAACCATAAAACATTAATTAATGTTGTTGTGAGAATTGAAGTTCAATAAAGGAAAGGTATTTAAATCTAATTGATCATTAAGAAATACATTTAAATGTATCATTTTGTTAATCTCCACGGCTTCCAATAATTTTAATTTTCCACTTTTTGTGGCTGTATGTGAAATATCAAAATGGTCGCCAAAAATGTGTTTTTCTGTGTTTAAGTGTGTAGCATAATTAGAATCTAGACTATTGTCTTTAAAGGCTCTTTTATCTTCGTTAATGCGTTTTTTGAAGGATCTTCCTGTTTGTCCAATATAAATTTTAGGACAAGATCCGCATTTCAACCTGTAGACACCTGATTTTTGAGATTTTAGACAATTCGTTTTATTGTGTTGTTAGTTCTGAAAGCTATTTTTAAACCACATTTTGACAAATGTTTTGAAACATTTTCACTAGGTTCTCCTATGTATGTAATTGTTTTAAATTGTTCGTGTTCTGTATTAGGTTTCGGATAAATAGAGTTTACTGTTGTCTGGATTTTTTTTTATTCATCATTTTATCTATAAGCCGTTGGTCAGTGCAGTTTGTCTAATGATATTAAGTTCTTTGTTGTTATTTTCTGTTGAGATTGGCGAATTAAGAAGTCTGTGTATAAAAGAGTGAAATGGAACCATTTTGTGTGTATAAGGGTGATTTCAGCTGTTAAGTATGACTGTGTCCGTGTGTGAAGGTTTATGACAAATGGAAAAATCTAATTTGTTTTGCGTTTTCGTAATATTTAAGTCTAAAAAATTAATAGAGTTATCCTGTTCAATCTCGATAGTGAATTTTATACGATTATGTAATGAGTTAATGTAATTTAAAAAAGAATTCAATTGTCTGTCCGTTCCAATAAAGCAAGCAAAGACATCATCCACGTATCTATACCACCATAGAAAACTTTTACTTAAAGGATGTTCTAGTATGATATTTTCCGAGTTATCCATAAAAATCTCGGCTAACAAATAAATAAGTGGGTTTCCCATAATCAAACCTTCCTTAGAGATGTAAATCTGTCCATTACTTTCAAAATAATTTTGGTCTAAAGATACTATTAAGCAATGTAATAAATCTTGTTTCACCAATAGGTTAACTTGTTCCCAAATTAGGGTGAAATCTACTAAATCTATCACATGCATAAGTGGAATACTGCTAAATAAGTTTTGTACATCAAAAGACAATAGTGTTGCGTTAGAGGGGATTTTGATATCTTTAATTTTGTTGATTAATTCAAAAAAAAATTTTATTGCAAATTTTGGTTTAAAATCTGTGTGTTCGTGTATGTGTGTGTGTGTGTGTGTGTGTTTTGTCGAAACAATTGTCATGTAAAAATATATAATTTCGTGAAAATCTGAACTTTTAGTTCTTATTTACTTTGATAAATGGATTTTCATCAAGTAAAAGCCACCTCAGTTCAAGCCATTATTTGTTCTTATTTACCATTGGTAATATAAAGTTTCCGGATTTCTTTTGAAAGCATAAAATTGACGAATTTAGTTTCGAATAAGCATTTGCGCAAATGGCAGTATTTAATCATACTGCTAAATTACATATTAATTCTATATGCCTATATTACGCCATGATTTAACACGAGCCTGCACACGTTTATTGCAATATTTGCATAAAATTCTGAATATATTGGCGATGCGACGCGTATAGAGCCTGTGCTGTCCACGATATTGCGCAATGTATAGGGTTTTTAATTTTACAACTGTAATCGAGTTATGATTGACTGCCAGATTATCGTAGGTAGTTACCAGACTCTCTAATCGCACTTTCGGAGCCACCACCACATACGATCCATACGTCATGATCAAGGGGCGTGTAATAAATATAATCGAACTCATGAATTTATTGTTTTCATCGCATAACGATTTATTTGGTGATTATTTTGTACCAAGAATTGTTCCAAATTAATTTCATACTCGCCGTATGACTAATACTTGAAAATTTTAAAAATCAGCAATCCACACTCCATTATATTACGCAGTTTCCTTTATTTGCTTTGTTTTGGGTGATCAAATTTTTTTGTACAATCGTATTGAAATAAGACACCCATACGTACTGGAAAAGGTTTGCCCCGAGGTCTAAAATTTATGAAGAAAAAATATTTGCGACATACAGACATTACTATTATTGTCCACTATTCTGTTTTTTTTATTAGTATGTTCTATGCATTTTCGCTGTTTTTGTAAAATATTTTCTTGTACTGTAATTTAGGCAATTTGGAATATAGAACTAGCAACTTCAAATTATTTTCGACTTTTATAGTTCAGTGGTACGTTTTAAAAGTCGAAGTTTCTATGCATCTAAGTTTTTTTACAAAACATTTTTGTATTTTTTATAAATTATAATGATATTAATCACGCGGCGATCGAAAAAAGAACGGTGCAATAATTATTTATTACAGAGCTAGTGCACTCCTATCTGTTTTTTCAAAAATCTTCGAAAGAGCACTGCATTCAAGACTTTCAACATTTTTGGGAAAGTCGTGACCTTTTTCCGGCATGCAATTTGGTTTTCGAAAAAAGCGATGAACGCGGGATGCCAATCCATCTTTTTATAAGCAAAGGCAGCAAACAGCATGCGTCGTTCATATGGCATCAGAGATAACGCCTTAAATTGCATAGTTTTGGTTAGTTTGGGGGTTGTACGCAGTTATATACGTCTCTGACTCCAGGTCAGTGAATTGCGGTGTACCTCAGGGAAGTTTATTCGGTCCTGTATTGTTTATAGTGTTTATAAATTATGTGTTTTCATCTTTCCCCCATATTTACGTTTCCCTTTTTGTGGATGACGTAGTTAGCCCTTTCTGCAGCATTGCCACCAAGCCAACTGTCGAGCAAATGAAACATTATACCGAAATTAATAAATTGATACTAACGAAAGTCAAACTAAGACGATCACCTTTTCAACACGGGATTTAAATAAGAGTTTACTAGTACGCTTCAGTGAAAGCACAATCTAACAGAATAGTGTTGTAAAATGCGGAGTTTATGTAGTCTCGAGGCTCTTCTGGTTCGAACATTGCTTTGTTACATGGAAGCTCCGCCATCAGGTTGCTTTTCTCTTGGTAAAAATGTACTAGTTTTCCTATGTCTATTCCTGTCTTAACTATGCCTTGATATGCTGGATCTTCTTTCTTGTGATGCCTTTTAATACGTATTCGTTGTTTGTAATTGTATATATATTTGTTATTTGCCTAACATTGTTATTATTATGAATTAATTAATTATACCAACATAACTTTATATTATTTATATTTGTATTATACTGACAATATTCAACACTTATAACTCAAGTCTTGTGGAAATAAAGCTATCTTTATCTTTATCCGAAACCCATATAGTGGACTTGGACTTTTCTAAAACTTGATTTTTTTGGTTTACATAAGAAAATGGCTTCTTTAATAAACGTTTAAAAGAACCTAAACAAGAAAAATGTTTTTACAGATTTTGAAAAATCAAACTGCAATTATAGCTTTGTGAAAAAAATCGCATATCAACATACATACCTCAGAATTAGAAAAAGATTAAAGTACGCCTCCTTTTATTTCAAAATTATTACCCATTTATACCTCATTGCCGTGGTACTGATTTTATTTTTGCGTTTCAGGTGACTGAATGGAACCCGAACTATCAAAACGTGTCAACGAAACGCACTAGGGTGAGTTTAATACAAAATTATTGCTTTCGATTCGCTCGTGTCGTTATCAATTCGCCATACAAATGTATTCGGTGGGAGATTCATTAGGTATTGTTTCGTTAAATGACGATATTTGGACCGCAACGCGTGATAAAAATACGAATTAACCGAAAACACTACACGCTGTGTGGCATATAATTAATGGATATGTAATTCGTTGTCGCATTTGTTTACAAAACATTACAATTTTTCACTTGTCCACGTCACCGTGTATAAGTAGTGGAATAACATATCGACGATCTCACTATAAATATAAAGCATTTTAATTGTGTCCCTGCGTACGATGTAAATGATCAACCGCATCCCGAATATTATGTAAATTATTTTGGGGCCAACCCTTTATCGAATTTACGCCCATTGCTGAAGGTGTTGACAAATAAATTGCCCAGAAAAATTTATGGGGCCGCATGGTCGCGAAACTTTGACTGGTATGGTCTGTTCATAGATATAAGAAAGTGACCAATTGCTTTTGAATGGGATTATCCAAAGGTGATCATTAACATACAATGCAACAAGATTATTATCTAAAGTTTCGGAATTTAAATTCAGTTAAAATTGTATTCCGTAATATACAATAATTTTATACCCACTTAGTTTAAGTTTATTAGTAATCATTCTTATTTCGTGTGAAATACAGCGTGTGTTGAATCGTGCGCGAATTATGCAAAATATGTGCGAGTCTAGTGTATCTCAGGAGATGCTCCCGCCCAAATGTAGAAAACACTATTCTATTGAGACTAAGGAAGTTATAAACAATGTTTATTTGACTCTTATTGAACGTGGTGCTAGCAAGCAAGCATCTTTAGAAGAAACGGCCACATTGACGAAAATTCCAACATCAACTGTATGGAAAATTGCGAATAATCCCATTTCAGCAAGGAAAAAAAGAAGCGATGCTGACATTTTCTCGAGTGTAGATGAAAGTGATCAAGATATAATACGGCGTAAAATTTACCAGTTATACGAGGAACAAAACGCACCTACATTAGATATCTTATTTGGGAGGCTTGAAAAAGATGAAACCGGTGTTAAATGTGCCAGAACTACCTTATGGAAGTATATTCAATACATGGCTTTTAGATTTAAAAAAATTGTCAAAAGGCAAGTTTTAATGGAATCTTTTAGAATTCGGAAATGGCTACTGGAATATCTAGAAAAAATTAGGATTTACAGAGAACACAAAGGCCAATTATTTACTTGGGTGAAACCTGGTTCGACACTTATGATACGCCGGAAAAGGGTTGGGTTGACTCAACTGATAAAAAAAGAGGTAAAAGAATAACATTTTTTTATATAAATGGATTCTTCTGTGGATTACCATGAAGACACCACCGTTGATTTATTTGAAAGTTGATTTAAAAACAAACTAGTTCCAAACATTCCTCCTAATGGCGTCATTGTAATGGACAATGCAAGTTATCACAGTAAACAGTTGACTAAAACCTCTTCCTCATGTGACACAAAAGCAACAATCCAAAAGTACATGTATAATAACAATATTTATTTTCACGAATATTATGCCAAAAAACAATTAATTGAGGTTCTACAAAGCTTGAACCTACAAAAGGAATACGTCTGTGATAATTATGCAAAAAATCTAGGGCATACAGTTTTAAGGCTTCCATCTTCCCACTGTATATTTAATCCCATTGAACATGTTTGGCACCAACTGAAATCTGCCATTCGTCGTAACTCTTTATGATGTAAAATACGTTTATGTCTCGACTACGATAACACTGACCTCATACGCCTAAACGTAAAATCCTATATACCTCCTTGGATGTAGGCATCATTATTAATGCTAATGTTAAAAGAAAAGGTCCGCTGATATCCTATGAAATTTTTAAGAATGTTTATATGTATGTGTCCTATCTCTTTTAATGAAAACTATTGCTATTATTCTTATTATTATTCGCTATTATTGAATTAATTATCTTATCATAAATGAGAAGAAGAAAGGATTAATTAAGAATGTTTATATAGGTGTTAAAAAATCAGATTTGTAGTGGTGGAAAATGCGATGGAACTACATATTAATTACCTAAACAAGTATGTTTTTATTCAAAATCTAAATCTTATTTTATAATAGTTATTTTGTATGTAAATGTAAAATTCTTAAATTTTAAAAATGTCCTGTACTGCAATTTTTCAGGTTCAGCCTACTTAAAGTAAGAGTGACGTTTCCTGCCCTTACACTTGATTTAATTTGGTGTCACAAATGGGGTTGAATTTGCAATGATATGTACACATATTTTCCAGACAGTGAGACATAACGTAAAAATTTGTAATATACTCCAAAGAAGCTGTCACTGATATCAGCCGGCACGTGGTCGACATCGACCTGACTCGCCCTCATCTTGTCATTCAGCTATGAATAAATTATTGTTTTTTTTTTCAAAGTAATTTCCGCTCTCTACTGTAATACTTTTTACAAAACTTCTGGATTCTTCCTGCGTTTCGCCAATCATCATGTTGCCTTCTTCAGAGGTTGACTGAAACTTTCTCGTATTTTACTCAATCACGAAACCGGATATTAAATTCTTCGATAAACTAAAATTCTTGCACGTAATTAATTCTTCTACCAACGAAAAATCCAAGAGCAAGCAAATTAACAATCTTAACAGCGACTCAGGTCACCTGTCACCAATATATACCAATAATTTAACTCTGCCCCCCCTCAAACAATATGTAACCAGGTATAGAGTAAAATGTGAGCCAGTTTCAGTGAAGCTCTGAAGAAGCCAACAGGATGCTTGGTGAAACGTTAGTAAGTTCGACTCAACAGAAGCCGACGCTGGAGGAGTCCAGAAGTTTTGAAAAATAGAAATGTTGGGTTATTGGATTTACCCAGTAGCAATAGGTATGAAGATCGTAATTACTTTTTCGGGGCCGTCAAATACCAAGAGGATATACCTTGAGACACAACATCGAGTTTATTTATTGCTGCATTACTTTAAAAACATTAATATTCCAACCAATGGAAATAAAATAGATTAATAAATTTAATAATTTAATTAATAAAGTAATATTATTATTTCAAGTAATATTATGAAATCCAAAAATCTGAAATCTCTACCTTGTTTTTTAAATTTTAAATAGATGTTTCGCTGTCAAGTAGTTCATTTATAGGACGGTTTTTATCGTTGAGGTTGTCATTTAAATTTTACCGCATATAAGAAGTCAACGAAAATGTGTAAAACCGACTTTAGATATTAGAGGTTGCATTGCTCAGGTCGTACTTGACCCGCTTCTACTGAAAACGTTCAACAATGCTTTGACAATTTGAGTTCGCACCTATTCACGATCAACCCGCAATTCCTTCCACTATAGAAGAACAAACAACAATCCCCTACGCAGAAAACATTCAAGGCGTAATTAACGCAGGACTTTTAAAAACTTCAAGCACATGCATTATGCGTGGCATCCCTTTTGTCATCAGCCGGGATTATTGATTGCACATCTGCAGCTTTGCATGTGCAATGTAGGTCAAGCTCCTTGTGTTTGCGATGCGGCATTGCCGGTTTTAGTCTGCCGCAGTGAATACCCGTTTATTATTATTGATGTTATTATTCAGTCAAAATATTTCCATTTATTTTGTTGTCATTTTAATTAGAGTTTTGATCAGTTGTAGTTAGTTGGTTGAGGTAAGTGCGTTTTAAAAAGTGTATACAAGGGGACTCGAAATCAAATATCAAAGAGAAACTCCTCGTTTTGAATTAATAATAATAATAATATTTATTTTCCCAAAGACAACTACGAAATTGTATAGGAATGGTCAAAATACATAATAGGTACAATATACATAGACATATAAAAAAACATTTACTCCAAAAAATTCGTCTAGACTATAAAATATTTTGGAGAACAAAAATATATTTAATCGTTTTTTAAATAGGCAATAGACAAGGTTTTAAACTTGTGTCTCTTAACTCCAATGGAACATTGATAAAAATACGAACATCTAAATAATCAGGTGACCTCGAAGTCGTCTACAGGCTACATTAGAGGACAGGCAGCTTACCGCTCTGTCTTGTATGCCTAGAACGTAAGTCACCAACTAACTTAAAATTCGATAAATTGTTAAACACATACAACGACATTTTAAAAATCCATAGACTCGCCAGTTTCAGAATTTTGTACTGGGCAAATAAACCCCTACAAGATGTATACTTGGAAATATGCTCCCCACAAATAGATTCCATAACGTAATCATGACTCCACCTTCGCATAGTATAAATTAAACAACTATTGTCTAGTTAAAATCTCACAAAGATTTGTAAAAAGATAATTTACACTATTTAGAGTTGAAATAAGAGTATCACAATGAGACTTCCAGTTTAAACATTTATCCAAACTCAATCCTAAGAACCAGCGACATTGTCATTGACTAAACAGATATTAAAATTAGCACATTGTTTCTGATAATTATCAAACCTTATAGTTTGGGTTTTGCTTGCGTTGAAATATAGATTAATATTTCCAAACCATGTCATCAAGCTATCCAGTACCCCACAGCACTTCTCTGAGAGGTCATCGTCATTTCCACACTACAACACCAAGGAAAAATCATCCGCATACATCACAAAATTTTCAAGATACAATTTACATATAATATGTAAAGTACAGCGCCTAAAACTGAACCTTGAGGGACACCCATCTCTATGCGTATATACGCTTTCCATTCTCTTACCTTTATAAAACTTACGGGATACAAATTGAGAACGATCTTCCAAAAAAACCACTGACCCGAAGAGTGCAGAGCTTCCTGAATTTCAAACGGCCGACTTAGGTCGCAAAAAATTCCAACCGGGCACTTACCGTCCCCGATAAAAGAAATTATCCTACGGAAATATGAACAACCAGCAGTTAAAGTGCTTCTATCTTTTCGGAAGCCATGTTGGTTATCTATAAAACTATGATATTTATCTAAAAAATACATTAATCTCTCTAAGAAAGCATAC